ATAGTATTTACCTTTCTCTGTCTGACTGATTTTGCCAAATTATTCCTATGATTAGGCAAGTAAGGCCACACTAGAATGTAAGATCTCTTTTCAGAGATAAAAGAGTATTTTTGTTTTCAACTAATTTATATTAGAAATGCAAGTATTATCTACATAATAAGTTCTGTCTTAGTTTGTTAGGGTTGTTATAATAACAATATCCATAGCCTATGTGGCTTAGAAACAAACCTTTATCTGAATCTGGAGGCAGATGTTGAATATCAAGTTTCCAAATTTGGTGTCTACTCAAGGCCCACTGCCTGTTTTAGATAAATGCCCATCTGTTTTGCTTAGTCTTCACATGTGATACGGGTAAGCGAGCTCTCAGGGGTCTCCTTTATTAGGGCATTAATCCCACTCATGAAGGCTCCACCCTTATGACCTAATCACCTCCCAAAGTCCCCCACCAAATACCATTCTATTTTGGGTTACAGCTTCCACGTGTAAATTTTCGGGTGACTGAAACACTTGGACTATAACAACTTCGTAAAATAAAAAACACATACTTTTTAAATATCTTAGCTGTGTGGTTGATTTAAATAAAAGTTAGATGTATATTGACTTGAAGAAACTAGTTGTTGGACTTAACATAACAAGTGGCAGGAGATTGTAATATACCCACAGTTATCACCCTTTATCTGCCTCACACTTGTGTGTAGGTCTGTCAGTAAGATAGACTGGGAAAGACAAAGCATCTCTTGGTATATTTTAGTGTTCTCACTGTGTACTGAGATTGTGTGAGACAATGAAGATTGTTGTCATAAAGACTTAATATTGAGTCAGCCTAAGTTTTATCCATTCCAGCATCTATCTCCACCCTGATAATTGGGGACTTATTTTGGGAATTTAGATTGTCCTCAGAATGTCAAGAGAAAAACCTGATGTCAAAAAATTTTCACTTAGTAATTATATTATTAGGGCTTCAAACTCTATTATCATGTTACCCTAAAATTTGCTACTGGCTCTGTTCATCAAACATAGAGTCATTAGGCTTAAATTAAAATTTTCTGAAGACATTTGTTTGTTTCCTAAGGAATTCCTACATTTACTGCCTTCCTACCTTTGCTCATGTATTTCCTCTGCCTAGAAAATACCCCATGTGTCAACTGAAAAGGTATTTTTGTGAAATATTCTATGATTTCTACCTCATTTACTTGGAGATGACCTCTTCCTCTATTTAATATACATAAATGCTGTCTGTTGTATTACTTAACATTCTTTGCATTACTTATTTGTTTATGAATACATATTATACTCAGGAAAATTAAAGTCATTCTCCACATATTTTTGTTTTCAAAATCTCTTCTAATGGCTTCATTTTTCTAACCTGTCTTCATTCCGATCAGTATTCCTTACCATCTGTGTCCAAATAGGCTTTTAAAATCTATATAACCTCAAATAAATCAAATCCTTAATCAGTCTTTTCTTTATGTTTTTCTTCTATTCTGGTAGACCCTTTATTCCTTGCCTTTTCATGTACTTTTTTCATCCACACAACTAAAAAACAAAGTCTGGGTCCTGAAATAAGGTGAATTCTCAAAAGTCAAGGAAATCCTTGCTCTAGCTTCTGAAGTTTTTTCCCCCCATTCTTACAGTTAGTTAATAAAAGCATTATCTATCTTTTATTTATTTATTTTTTTATTGTTCTCAGAGTAGAGCATTGCAAAATGAATAATCTTATTTCGTGAATGAGTTATCTGACTCCTTTAGGTATACTATTTCTGGTAGTATACCTAAAGAGCCATAATATGCTTGTTCATTTCCCATTTCTTTCTGTTTCTCAAATTGGATGTCTTCGTTATTGTAAGGAAAGCTTACTTAAACTCAGCAAAAATTAAAATTTGAAGACATAATAACATTAGATTTTGTGGTAAATATTTTCTACTCATTTAATACACTCAGAAAGCTTGCAAATTAAATTAACATCTAGGATTAGCCACCCACAGTGATTTCAAGTTTCCAACAGTATTTTTGATCTTACCTGAAATTATTTCTCTAAATATCTTTACTTTCTATAAATACTTTCTTGCCCATTATTTAAATCATATTCTTGTTTAATTTTTTTTGTCCATAAGATCTTGTACCTCTAAATCGGTTCTTATTCATTTGCTCCTCTAGCTTTCAGAAACTGGAACGGATTAGAAATTTCAGAGTGATATAAAAACATGAGACCATGATATGACCACAATTCAGTTATTCATGATTGTGAGAGAAAATTAGCCAAGCTGTCAGTTTTTAAGATTCCACTATCAGGTGAAATAAATCTATACCTGTGATTCCAAGAAAAGAGTAATCATGCTTAATGTTTATTTTTAGCAAAACAAACTCCCCTTCTTTGTAGTATATTGCTTCCTTTTACATGAAACTTCAAAATTAGCTAAGTAGCGTAGTAAAAACTATGATTCTATTGCTGAAATTTTTAATAAAGGTGTAAGAGTAACTAAATGAAGTAAGCATAATCTTTTCAACATTGAGAATATATGAAGAACTCTCAAAACTCAACAATAAGAAAATAACCAGTTAAAAGCCAAATGATTTGAACAGGTATTTCAACAAAGAACTCAACAGCCCAAGTGACTGTAATAGAGGAATGGATAAACAAAATGTGATATATACGTACAATACAACATTATTCAGCCTTATTAGGAAGAAAATTCTGACACTACAACATGGATAAACCTTAAGAACATTATGCTAAGTGACATAAGCCAGACACAAAAGGACTAATATTGCATGATTCCAATTATATGAGCTGGATACCACACATATGGACAAAGGGAACACATAAGATTTGAAAGGTTTGATGAACATCACTGCTTTAACAAGAAACAAGTCTTGCAAAAAGGTGACATTAACCAAGTTGCTTGACTTAAGCCTTTATAGAGTTATCACAAGAAGAGAGACCCTCAGAGGAGGAAAGGAACATTTTTACAGAAAGTAAGATGGGAACTCAGAATAATTTTATTTGAATATTCAAATAAGTAGGCTCCATTATGTATTCCAGTTAGTTATGAATATATATGTTGCAAATGTGAAAAAATCAGTACTGTTGGAATTGAAAGTCTATTTGTTAATTAAAAAATGGAATGTTACTACACAGATTTAAGCTGTTTTACTAACACTGAAGACGGGGGATGAGAATAGGCAAAAAGTGTAGAGAAGATAGTGACTTGATATTGTTATACATGCTTGTTTTATGTTTTATTTTAAATAAGTTAACAACTTTGTGAATATTCTTAAAATTACCTTATCTTGGGCTTATTTGTATGGGTTTTGATTGAAAAACAGTAGTATAACCTGAGAAGTAAAAATAGCAGAGAAATATAAATTAAGAGAAATTATTTCTGCTATTACTTACATTATAAATTTTTTTAATAACCAGATACTTACTGTGCTTTATGCCCAGTACCGTCCTACTGCAATTAACATAATAGACAAAGCTTTTGCTCTACAAATTATACATTCTAATGGAAAAGACTATAAGCATGTAAAACTGGTAAGGGATACTTTCAGGTATTGATAATGTGATAATCAGGTATTTTAAATAATACGTTATATAATTCATAATAACAAATGCAAGTTATAAGTCACTGGAAATGTATCAAAGAGCTCCAAGTTAATTTGGTTCTAATTCAGGGAGTTGCAATGTTCACAGGTATTAACATCATTTTTTTGTAAACTGATTTCATGCTTTTAAAAATAATTTTAGAGCTGAAATGTGCCTTATAGATCATCCCAGTACAGCTTTGCCTTCAAAGGAGAACTTGAGATATTATATTCATGAAAACTTTAGCAGACAGTTCTAAGCAATGATAGCAAATTAAGAAAAAAATAACACTAAGAATTCACTATTGTTGACATCAGAAGTTATTAGTATAAGGAAAATACAAATTATAAAAAATTTGTGTTAATATAAATGAAGGATTCTTTATACTGCCTACAAATTAAAATTGAACATTTTTTTCCCTTTGGTGCTATAGTTAAATTAATTTCATATCTTCTAATGACTAAATTTTGAATAATTTTCTGCTTTGGTCTTAGAGTTTTTAAATTAATTATATAATTGATGCTATTTGTAAATGTCTAGGTAGAAATATATGCCTCTTACCTTACTATAATATAAGCAAAAGGGATGCAGCCTGAGATTCAGACTGTTTATTTCAAAGATGAAGAAGTCAGCTCTTAGAACAGTTCTCTCAGTTGCCCAAACCAGAGCAAAAATTAAGAGCGTATCTTTAATTAAGAGTTGACTTTCTTAGACTAAGACTTATATTTTTATATTCAATATCAATTGTGTGTTTTTAGTTTAAATTTAAAATTAAATTTATTGAGGTGACATTGGTTAATGAAGTTATATAGGTTTTAGATGTACAGTTTAATAATGTCATATGTGTATTGCATTTTGTGTTCAGCACCCAAAGTTAAGTTTACTTCTCTCACCAAATATTTGATCTCTTTTACCCCTGTCTACTTACTCTTCCCCCCATCACTCTGGTAACCACTAAACTGCTGTCAGGGTCTGGGGGTTTTTTTTTGTTTGTTTGTCTTGTTTCTTGCTTTCAGTTTTATATTTCACAGATAAGTGAAATCATATAGTTCACAACTTTTTCTGACTTCACTTAGCATGATAATCTCATGAACCACCCTAAATGGCTGAGCAATATTCCATTATATATATGACTCTGTGTTTACTGCAGCATTATTCATAGTAGACAAGACATGTGTGTGTGTGTGTGTGTGTGTGTGTGTGTGTGTGTGTGTGTGTGTGTATACAGTCTCAAATTTTACTGCTTTAGTATTATCATTATTAGACCTAATATATATCAAAAATTGACAAAAGGAAATTTTCATGGTGGTAGACCTTAGAACCAAGATTCTAAAAATTGTTTCTTGTTGACATCTTTTATACTAAGAATGTTCAATGTTCAGTTTTTGTCATGAATAATTTTTCTCCATAATAGGTATTGTCTTCTGAAAGTTCTAAATCAGTGTCAGACATTGAGGGAAGCTCTTATTACAGCAGGAAAAGAGGTTATATGGCATGGGAGGACAAATGAAGAACCAGCACATTACTGTAGCATTTGTGAGGTAACCATTCTTATTGACATTTGTTTTGTTGTGGACTCTCTAGTTTGTTTTTTTTTTTTATCATAAATTTTCCTATATTGTTATGTAATGCATTTTACTAAAATTGACTTAAAGCAATTGTATTAAATTCTCATGGTATTATATTTTATTAACTATATATTAACTTAGAAGTAGCTCATACAGAGGTATATAATACTTCCTTACCATATGATAATCATCTCAGTTTTAAACTAGAAAGACTCCATAATAAATAAACATGAGGCAGCAAACTAGATCTGTTTTAATATATATCCAAGAAGACCAGTATTATGGTTTTTTTTGTTCACTTCATGATGTGTTTGTTGATTTTTCTCTTGTGGCTAAGGCTTGAAAGAAGTCCAGAAATAAATGCAGTACCTCCTCTGGAGAAGCTTACAGTCTACTGGGAGAAGACAAATTTTAAACAACTAGTTATGATGCCCATGAGACTGTGATGAATATGAAGCTGGTCATGTATACAGACTGTTAGAGGAACATTGAGGAAAAATTATATTTAAAATAATATTGGCATAAGGACTTACAGACCTGTTAACATTTGAGTCCTCTTCAAAGAATGAGTTCGATTTCAACAGTAAATAATGGCTAGAATTGGAGATTTATAAAATATCACTAGGCTTTAGGAACAGTATATTGGTGGGGAAATGTTTTTTTTTTTTTTTTTAATTTTTAATTTTTTCAGCTGTATTGAAATATAAGACAATTTTCAGTTGCTTGTATTTACATTGTACAATTCAGTGAAGTTTTTTCAATTATAACTGGCATACAGTAATATGTTAGTTTCAGTTGTAGAGCGTAGTGATTAGAGATTTACATAACTCAAATCTTATATAACTCACAAAGTGATCACCCCACTAAATCTAGTACCCTCTTCTGCCGTACATATTTATTATACCATTATTAACTATTTTCCTTATACTACACTATATATCTCTATGTCTATTTTGTAACTACCTATTTGTACTTCTTGATCCCTTTGCCCTTTTTCTCAATCCATCCCCTCATCTCCATCCTATGAATAGCATTATTGATAGGGAAATGAGTACGTTTCACTGTAGCTGAAAAGTAGCAGTTTGTAAGAGTAGGTAGTATGTAGCTTGTAGAGCATCTTGAATTCAGTTTTAAAATTTTAATGTTTCTTTTGATGTCACTGAAGCCATTCAGATTTTTTTAAACAAGGGACTAAGTCACACTATGTGTCTCAGAAAGTGGTAGATGATATTTGGACAGGTTGGAGGTAGAAAGTAAAGAGGTTAGCTTAGAGGTTATTGAAGTGGTCTTATGTGGGGTTAACTAAACATTAGACTGCTATGTAGTATTAAGAATGTAAAAGAAAGAGAGAAATTTAAGTGTTTAGAAAGTAAAATCAACAGGACATTTGATCAAATTGGGCATAACTGCCAACTTGAAGAATCCCTTTTTTAAATTTTATTTTTTTGCGAGGCAACCCTTGGTAGACCTCACAGATTGCAAGGACCTTGTCAGTTTACAATCCCTGATTTTTTTATTTTTTACACCTACAGTACCTAGTCTTCCTAGGTGGTCTCCCATCCAAGTACTAACCAGGCCCGACCCTGCTTAGCTTCTGAGATCAGATGGGATCGGGCTTGTTCAGGGTGGCATGGCCGCAGACTCCCAAAATTTTAATTGGGGTCACTAAACTAGGTAACTGCCCATTAATACTAATAGAAATCTATGAACTCAGGAATTTTAGCAGAGCTACTTAAAAATAAGTTTTTATTACTGAATAAACCAAGAAGAAGTCCGAGGAACACTTGGCTAAGAAATTGAAATTCCAAAATAAACCTTGAAATGATGTACTTCTGAAATAAACTCATTAAATCTACTGGCAATTTTAATGTTGTATAACCTCATCGAAATATATTATAAGACCAGATTCTGGTTAGGTGTTATGCTTCAGATAAATATGTATCTTTGCAATACTGGAAAACATGGGTTGTATCTATTATTCATTATTCCGGCTGAACTTTTGCAATTCTTTTTGTATAAGATCTACTGACTATCTCTTAGTATATTACTGTTCATGCATGTATTCTGTTTGTATTGTTTTCCTCAGTAAATAGATAGAGGCTTAGAATGGAATACTTTTTGTTAGTCATCTACGAATATTCAACTCTTGAAAATAACCTGCTTATAGTCATTCAAGTGGTTTTTTTCCTTTTTTAAAAAAAAAAAGCTTTGGTTAAACATTAATAGAAGTCCAAAAATTAATATATAGTCATTACATTTGCATGGAGTTCAATCTGTGAGGGGAGATGAGTATCCAAACACAGAATACTGAACACAGTATCATGGAGAAGTAAAAAGAAAATAATCATCACTTTAATCTGATTGTGTATGATATTTTGGTTAAAATAAAAATTGGCCTGAGCTTTATCAAACTTTGAATTATATTTTAGTGGTGTAGTGAATATTTAATTCCCTTAGGTAAATCTGTAAATTTATAACGTTATCCTTCTTTTTGATTAGACCTGGTTCCTTAAATATACAACAATTTCTCAGCCAAGTATTTCTCTGACTTCTTGGTGTTTTTTATATATATATATATACACACACACACACACACACACACACACACACATACATACATACATATATATACACACACATACATACATACGTATATATACATATATAAATGCATAGAGTACATATATAATATAGATAGAAACATAATAAATATGTATTTGTGTGAGGGCATCCAGAAGGAAGGCCATGAATTCTATATACTAAAGGGGTGCAATAAATTTATTCAGTGTGTTTTTTTCTCATGTATAAACTAGGTGGAGGTTTTTGATCTGCTTTTTGTTACTAATGAAAGCAATTCTCAAAAGACCTACATAGTACATTGCCAAGACTGTGCACAAAAAACAAATGGAAATTTGGATAATTTTGTGGTGCTAGAACAGTACAAAATGGAGGACCTGATGCACATCTATGACCAGTTTATATTAGTAAGTGAAATCAACATGTGAGTACACAGTTAGCTAGTTGTGAAGCAGCAGTGTTTGTTTTTGCTACTTGATAAATTAGAAATTAGTAAGATATTTAAGTTTTTCATTGCATAAGAAAAAATATTTCCATGTTCTTGTGCTTTGAAACAGTTTATCAGTAATAAATTGACATGTACTACTATATTTTCATTTCAGTGAAAATGGCCTAAAAATAGTCACAAAAATTATGTTTTAAAATCTTTGTGTACTTTTAGATTATTATTTATCATAGTCTTTATGCTATCTGACTTAACTAATAAAAGCAAATACAAATAACTTAATTCTATAGGAATGATTGCAAAAGAATCAAAATGTTTTTAATGTACTTGTGTTTTTGAAGTCAGTTGTATTTATTTACAACCTAATCCCTGCTATAAGTAGTAAGCTTATGGAGACATTTGATGGTACTTGTTTGGGTGTTATAATAAGTAGGATGCATGAATTAAATTCACAATTTTGTGAATTTTGTGACTTTTAATTTCAATAAGTTGCTTGATACCATTTACTTCTGTCTTTGAATGGCTTTGTGTTTAGAAACTCAATTATTCATGACTAGTTGATATTTTTCTTTAGTTGTAAATTTTGAAATTAAGTCAGGTGTTTTTAATTGAATAATTCTCAAGATTGCTTGAAAAAATTTATGATAAACATACAAACTTTAAATCTAATTGAGAAATGTTCATAAGCCAATCACTAATAATTTTAAATAGAATGTTTCATAAGAATTTTCAACTAAATGATGAAGTATAGGAAAATGCAGTTAATGATTTACAACATTTAAGAAACTGGTACCAGTGTAGACAAGAGCACATTACACAGCAGGCTGCTGAACTTTGTTGTGGTTTAGTGTTTCTTTCTCACTTCATAAGTAGATGGTACATTGTTTATAGCCATAAGCTAGAGAACGCTGGTAAGAATTAATATATCAAAACCATTAATATACCTTATCTTTTAATTTTAGGCTCCTTCATTGTCATCGTCCTCTTCCTGATATTGTCCATGAATATTAAATGACACCTTTTCTGCTCTTCAAGAAAGTTTTGCACCACTTTTTTGTAGCTGTTCATAAGACTGCTGACTTAAAAACTGTATCTATGCAAACTTCCAAAAATAGAGTGTCAGTCAACCAACTGGACGTAGGAGAGCACTGCTTCTACTCCACAACTGTCACAAGCAGATCCAGCTGTACCTAATAATAATAAATACATGTTTCTGTTTCATGATATCTGAGAGAACTGGCAATGTTCAACACACTACTCACTGACTTGAATACAACTTTTTTTGTTTCTTTATTTCTGGACTAATAAATTAGTTTTCATCTATATTTTACCCTTTTAGAATTTTACTGGGGGAAAAATACTGTCCTAGATATTTATTTGTTTGGTAAGATAGTTAATAATGTTTAAATGTTTCATCAGCTTTTTTTATGTGAAAAATTAGATGAGATAGTTTATTACAGATTTAGATTTTTCTGTATTGTTTTGAGACCACAATAGTTATACTTTTGGTTCCAAATGAAACTTAAAACTTTAATAGTCTAATAGCCAAGACACAAAGATAATGGATTACACATAGGGTAAGGAATAAAGTTCAGATTTGTGATTTTTGTTTTAAATCTTGATACAGATTTATGCTATTTATGTATACATATTTATTGCTTGAAAATATTTGTGAATGGAATGTTGTTTATTTTTTTCAAGATTTACCTGCTATTAAATATTAAGGAGTTCTGTCATTTTAAACACTACTCCTTTTACATTTTCTATGTATAAATAAAACTACTTAGCATTGTACAGAAATTTTATTAAAATTGTTTAATGTTTAAACTGTTTTCCCCTGTTTGAGTTTTAGAAAGACTTTCTGTAAAGACTCAGTTTTTGTTAATTTTCATGGTTATATATATATTTTATATATAAATTTATATTTACACACATACATAACAAAAATATCTAAATTGTAGTATAAAGATAAAACTTTAAATTTTCACATGGTAGATTTTGATGCCTATTATAAATTATTGCTTACAAAGATAGATTTATTTTTAAAATGTCTTTCTATTCAGTTTAAGTTGCAGTTATTGCAGTGATAGCCAATAAACGATTACTACAAAATGTAGAAAATATAATGAGTTAAGATTTTAGAGGGAACACTACATAGATTTGATAAATCTTATTTATCATATGTTCATTAAGGAAAAGAGATTTAGAATGAGAGCGACTATTGAGAACAATATAGTGACTTTTTTTTTTTTAAGTTAAATAGTTTGAAATTTTATTCTTTTCTGTTTCTACAACATAGGTAGGGAAGGGAAGGGATATTCAAATTCTTTGTCACTGATAAATTTTAACAAATTCTATGAAGGCTTTTATTTCATATGAACAAATTAATTTAATGATAGTACTCATTCTACATTAGCATCTCTGCTTTCTGAAGGATTTTGCCTGTATTCTCATTTTATGTCATTCTTCTTTCTAAGAGTTTTCCAGAGAGCTTTGGTAGAGTTCTATAAATTAAGTTATGGAAATGTAAAAAGAATTTATAATTATATCTGGTGAAATGTCTTGATTCTTTTAATGAAGTACTCTTTTCAAACAATTTTATAGTGTTCTGGCTTCCTAGGAATAGTTGTGTTTTTGTTTTTTAATTAAACTTATTTAGATGACATTGGTTAATAAAATTATATAGGTTTCAAGTATACAGTTCAATAATATATCACATGTATCATTGTGTGTTTACCACCCAAAGTTAGTTTTACTTCTGTTGCCTTATATTTGACCCCCTTTACCCTTCCTTACTCCTCCAACACTTTCCCTCTGGTAACCACTAAACTGTTTTTGTGACAATGTGCATGGATCTTGAGATTGTGCTAAGCGAATAAGAAAGAAAAAGTTGAGACTCTTATGATTTCACTCACTTTTGGGATATAAAACTGAAAACCACACCAAAAAATATATATATATATAGAAATAATTTAAAGATAAAAATCCTAAAGAAATAATTTAAGATAAAAATCCTAAAGATATCTTATTAAATTAGGTAATAATTTTTTAAGAATTAAAATCTTTACAGTATCATGTATATACAATTTAGAAGGAAATATTTGCAATTCTATTTTTGTTAAATGGAGAAAGTACAGTTATGTCCCAAATAATGTTTTGGTCAATAACAGTGGTCACATGAGATTATAATGGAGCTGAAATTTTTCTCTTGCCTAGTGACATCATAGTTCTCATAATTTCATAGCACAGCAGATTACATGTTTTGTGTGATGCTGGTAATGCTGGTGTACAGTAACATGCTGTAAGAGTTTGTTGCCAAGGAGCAATAGGCTTTACTGTACAATCTAGGTGTGTAGTAGGGGAAAAAGAAACCCTCATACACTGCTGGTGGGACTGCAAATTGGTATAGCCACTATGGAAAACAGTATGGAGATTCCTCAAAACACTAAGAATTGATCTGCCACATGATCCAGCAATCCTTCTACTGGGCATTTACCCCAAAGACTTGAAAACCCATATCCGAAAAATCATTTGATACTGAGAGTAACAGCAGCATTATTCACAGTGGCCAGGACATGGAAGCACTAAAGTGTCCTACGACAGATGATTGGCTAAAGAAGCTGTGGTACATACATACAATGGAATATGACTCAGCCATAAGAAGAGATGAAATAGTGCCATTTACAACAACATGAGTGGATCGTGATTTTTATGTTAAATGAAATCTGTCAACCAGAAAAAGTTGAGAACCATATGATCTTATTTGTGGGATATAAAACTTGAAAATAGCAAAGAACAATACGAGTACAGATTTCTGGGCACAGAACAGTTTAGTGGTTACCAGAGGGAAGTGGGGAGGGAGCTTTTAACAAAATTCAAAAGGGACAAAACACAAGATTATAATTGATCTGTAGAACATCTTAGTAATTTATATTTGTCAGAAAAGAATAGATTGACATGTCTGTCTTTAAATTAGTGGAAGTTAGAGAATCTTGAACTTGGAAGTTAGTCCAACAGGAGAGAGGACCAAGTTTAAATATTCCTTGGAACAGCATCACAACAAACAAATAAGAGTAAAAGAGAAGCAAATTAAAAGAACAGGAGTAATTTTGATCAAAACACAACTTATTAGAAAAATCATATCCACATCGTCCTGAAAGATTAAAAAAAAGAATTTAGTATGGCAAGTGATAGCAAGAGCAGCTTTAGTGAAATAAAGAGTGTAGACAAATTGCTATGGTAAGGGAAACACTGAATCTGAGAGGTATCATCTGTACCAAGAAACCTTTCCCCGACCCCGCTAAACACGAAACTTTCTTTTGAGGCATATAGCAGACATTACCAAACATTGGCGTAGAGTGATAGAGTATTACTAGTGTTTTAATACTTGAAACAACCGACATGACCTTTTTCTTTTCAAGTACCTTTTGACTCAAGTATGACTTAAGGAAATACACCATTTATTGTGCACTGTGAATAGCATATGCAAAAACCTTTCCATGCATTTGCTTACTTAACACTCTGATCATTGAAGGTAGTGTGTATTTTGTCTTCGTTTTACACATTAAGGGACAGGGAACTAAGGATTCAGATTCTGGCTGACTTCTGACTAAGCGTAACTCCCACAAAATGAAAATTGTAAATGCTAATGCTTACAAGGACTTAGTATTTGATGAATCTTTTCATTATGTTGACCTTGAATTTGCTAGCCCATCATTAGAGTAATCTTGTAAATTTTGCTTCAGTCAAGTTTCATTTTTATATAATTGGAGATTCACATGCAATTCCAAGTCTAATACAAAACTCCTATTTACCCTTTATCAATTTTTCCAAATGGTAACATCCTGCAAAACTAAATGTAATGTGTCTAAGATACAAACATTGATACAGAATTTTTCTTTCACCACTTAATCTCTTATGTTTGCCTTTTATATGACCCCTTTACCTGTTCCTTAAACCTGGCAACATTGTTATATTCTCTTTCTATAATTTAGTCATTTCAAGAATGTTTTGTAAAGGAAATCAAAGTATGTCACTTTTGTGAAGGGCTACATGTACTATAATCCTTAGGGATGTATCCAGTTTGTTAATTGTCAGATTTTTTATTGATGAGTAGTGGTAGATGGTATGGATGCACCATAAATTTATTTAGCCCTTCACCAGTGAAGAACATCTGTGTTTACAATTTGAGGTTATTGTAAGTCAAACTAATGATGTCATGTACAGATTTCTCTGTGCTCATAGAATTTTATTTCTCTGGAATAAATGTTCAAGAGGGCAATTGCTGGGTTGTGTAGTAGCATGTTTTTAAAAGTTTTTTTTTTTTTTTCCAGAGGGAGAATATCATTTTACATTGTATTAAGTATGATAGCTTGTTGAAGGTTACTGTGCAATACTTTCAGCATTGGATTCATTTTGACATTTCCTAATGAATATTTCAATAATTTTATAATTTTAATCTTTTCAGACAGTGCTATTGATTATTTTCAGTGCAGCCTGAGGGTTGAGTGTATTTCTTAGCTTCTTCCTGGGTCCCTCTGATACCACCCAACAAAAGAGATTTGACTCACTGTATACTCAAACTAATGGGGTGAAATTCAGCACCTATTTTGCCCCCATTGGATGTGGAATGCCAGCCGGATTGACTGATCTCCATTTCATTTTGCCTTTTTGGTATTGTCATCAGCAAAAGTTGACCGAGGTGAAATTGGAGTGTGGAGGCTCATTTCACAACTGGACATCAACAGTAGGGGTTTGAGGAACAGAAACGATTTTCTTGGGCAACTTGGCAGGTATTATTCAGCTTAAACCACACTCAATGTAGACTTACGTTATTTGGAAGACACTTTGGGGGAGTATTATTTACCTCCTTTCAGCCTTTTATTACTAGGATTTTTTTCACCCTTTGGCAAAATAAATTATTAGTTGGAACAGTCATGCTTAACATATTAGGATGATAAATAAGGTGAAGATGCATGTAGTGAAGAAAAATGAGAAATACTTCCTATTTTTAATATTAATAGGTATCTACTTTGTTGTTCCTATCAAATAATCATAACTAAATTGAAAACAAAATCTTTAGAATATTCTAAAAATAGTTTGCATTATATAAATTTTGGCCTATCTACCACTGACCTATTTCAAGGTAGAATCTACTAAGCAAAATAGAAAATTTAGAAGTAAGAATTCTCATGGTTTTTAAACCTATTATCTATTCCTCCTTTCCTCTCTGTTTCTTTGTCATACAACTTTTCTTTTTCTTTCTAGCACTCTAATTTTCTGGCACCACAATATGTTCCAGTTTTAGTTTATATATTCTCTGCTCATATTCTTTATTAATTTTCTACCCTATCTTGAATCAACCATTTCTCAGTGAAGTCTGGTAGTTTAATAGGCAGAGATATTTAGAAACCAAGATAGGGACTTGGGTATCTTAATTACTCTTGGGTGCCATTTCCTCTAGACCCCTCTCAGTAAACAGAACTAAAAAAAACTAGCTTGAATTATCTTTTTAAATTCTCATATACATATACTTATAAAATACTTATAGCCACATAAGAAGCATATTACAGTATTATTTTTTGTTTGCAGTATTCAAAGTACTGTTTTTCAAAGTTACTTAGAATAGTTCATTGTTACGTAATGTATTTGATATGTTTGTTCATTTATATTTGGATTCATTTTTTATTGTTTATATTCTGTTTTGGGTACCCCTAACATCATGGTGTATAGGCATAACATGTTTTACTGTGCTTTACAGATGTGCTTTTTTTACAAATTGAGGGTTTGTGGCAACCCTGCATCAAGCAAATCTGTCAATGCCATGT